TCCTATACCTCTACACAGTAGGTAATGTATGGAGCTATGAGAAAACAATACAGCATATATATTATATGATATTGCAATGGTTTTAGTCATATATAGTTTCACATTATTATTTATGTGTGGTTTCCAATATGATTTATGATCAATTATCACACCTAGAAATTTCTTCTTCTTTTTTATTTTCATACACTCTCTCTACTTCAACATTACTGATCATATTTTTAGCTTGATTTATTAATTTGCCGATTACCAAATGTTATAAACCTTGTTTTACTTAAATTCAATGATAATATCAAATAATTTCTTTAAGACATTCAGTTCTCTGTCCACTGTACGCAGAAACCATTCCAAACATTTCCCAGAGCAATATTGATTGGTATCTTCACCAAATAATGCATTATACACAGTATAAAGAATTTAGGGCCTAGCACTGAACCTTGTGGAACCCCACAAGTAACCTTCGACGAATCACATTGGACATTATTTATTTGCACATATTGATCTCTCTCTTCAAGGTAGCTTCTTAGCCATTAGTATGTTTTCCCTTTAATACTGTATCTCTCTTATACCATATCTGCTTGCAGCTATAGCCATTTTCCCCATTAATGCAATGTAGTCCAACAGTGCAGAACATGTTAAGATCAGATATGAACCTAGCATGGTTCTACAGGGCTCTAGAGCTGTAAATTTTACTGGAATTATAAGAGCAGTTGGAAAAACTGCACTGTGCATTTGTGACCATCGTCCATTTAATGATTACAGTACATCAACAGTGATCACCGTGTTCATTTTCTACGTGTTTGTAAGCTTGTATTTGAGGATGTGGATGGAGCAGGAAATCCAGCAGCCTATCAGAAAGGTCACCTATGAGAAAAGGCAACAGCTGCTCCACAACAGCTGCCCACAGGCCACCATACACTTTTAAAAATAAATGTTCCCAGCTTGGGTGTACGGTTCTAGGGAAAAGAAGAAGTTTGAACATGGAAGGTTCTTGTTGTGGGAAAGGTTCTTCGCACTTGCACATCTAATTTGCATCATGTTAAAAATCAGCTCTTTTGATCATGCATAAACGCGGCAAGATCAAATAAGGCTTGATTTCCAAGCTATAGGCTCACTCCAGTAATCTCTCTCTCTGAGTAAAGTCACAGACTAAACATACTTACATAAGTAGCCCACATTTTTACCAAACAGGCCCAATATGCATAACCAACATTCGAAACAAATTGTTATTCGTCTCACACAATAAAATCAGGAGGAGGCAATTAAATTGGCTGGTTTACATCCGGCTGTTTAAAATGAAACATTAGGTTTAATTGCAAATTCATAGCTTAATTGAAATATATTGAGAGCAGAAAGGATTGTTTGTCCCCACGTGTTTTTCACATATCATCCTGCTTTAGTTTGTATTCCCACTTGCGGTTTGCAGTGACTGCACCAGTTTTTTGCAAATCTTTTGTCATTTTATCCAGACTGAGGGAAAAAGACCAGTAACACTAGAAGGGTGTCTACATAACACATTCATAACATCTTACATAAATGCTTCATAACATGATAATGCATGTTTAAATCAATGTTTATAAAGTATACATGTTTTACATGATATCAATATGGGCTATTATGTCAATTTTTTTTTTGAAAAGTATATAATTTTCAGTAAAACGGCCAATTTCTGGACAGTCAAAATCAAAATGATTTTACTTTATCCCTTTGGTCATTTTGCATGTTTTACCCACACTTTCAATTTCTTTTAATTATCTGATTTTTTCTTAAACATCTGTTGCTTTACATGTCACTTTAATACACGGACATATTAATGTTGTATAAAACATGTATGCTTTATGAATGTTGATTTAAACATTCATGACCATGTTATGAAGTGTTTATGTAAGATGTTATGAATGTGTTATGTAGACACCTTTAAAGTAAAGGTTTCATAACTGTAATATTTACAAACAGATATTGTGATGTAGCAAGCCAGTTGCGGATTGTACAGTTAACATTAGCTATCAAGCTATCTAATGTTATGTATATTGTAGTTATTGTTATTTTGGTAGCTAGCTAACAGCTGTGCTCTGTTGCCTTTACATTTAGGTTTGAGGTTTGGTTTCACAACAAAATATGAAAGAGATATCTAAATTTGAGGAACCCCAGAGGGGTTTGGGTTCTTGGAGGGGCCCATTAGGGATCTGGAAAGGATCTTTTATTGAAAATGTCTATGCATTACATCTTCTAAGAGCAGTTTTAAGTTTGCTTAAGTTTCCCAGACAGCCGACTGCAACACAGAAGAAAATGTTGACATAATCTGTTGAATATCTAGAACTAGTCGGCTCTCCTTTGAAGCAGTTCTGGCTGCTGATGAGAAACCCATGCTTCTACCCCCTTCAGTGGAATCCAGTTTACTCAGGATACATTTTCTCATGCAGACAGTTCAGGCCCCGTTTTTAACTAAGCCGGAGCACACAGACTGAAAATCACGTTATATGAAGATGCAGGTAGTTGAATCTTTCAGTTTCTTCTCACATGTTCATGTTGTTGATGCCGTGAATTCCATCAGAATAGCTGAATTCTTTTTTCTGTCATTTCCACCTCACCGCTCACACAAGCCGGAGGCCTTGGACTGAAATGTGTTTGGGCCATTCATGACAACTCATCCTAGAGTGATGATGACCGATAGCTTTCCCTCTGGCCAGATCATAAGTGCTGGTCCAGTGGTGATGACACCACCATGTGAATACGTTGTTTTGACTTTTGAATTATGTCAGTGTGGTGATATTTGCTGTGACAGCCCTACTTTTTAGTCAGTCAGATATGTTATATTCAAGTAGTGTGTCATACTGAAAGTCTGTGCGGGTTCATATCTCTAGTCTAGAAAACATGAAAAAATTGATGTTGTTCAGACATTTTTAATGCAGCTTTTATATGTTCAATTAGAAAAAGTCAAAGAGCCAGACTTTTCCTGAGGGCCCAGATCCATTTTTCTTGTTTTTTTTATTTTCTCCCTGTAGTTTATCTGGTTTTATGTACCAAAAACAGCCATCGTTCATTTTCACATGATCATTTTCCAACCTCTGTTTATTTCAGGCTGTTTTTGTCACTTTGCCTTAATGACTGATACATGTAAATTACATCTGGCCTGATTGACTGCCTTGGATTATGGATATGAGCTTTTTAAGGTTAGTGGTGTTAGTGGTGTTTTGTAGTGCTACAAAGTGTAGCAAGGATATGGAAATACCCCAGAAAGGCAGGAATACAGAATTGAGTGTGTATGAATTTGGTCTGAGACTGTAGCCGCCTCCTTAGCATTCCCCTCCTGTGGCCTGTGTTCAGAAGTCCCCATCACCAGTCTAACCCTGTCACCCTGCTCTATAAATAGCCCCGGAGCAAGCCAAGTCCTGACTCCAGGTGGCTTACTGACAGCCTGGGGCTATCAGCACAAACACGGCTGATCTCCAAAACCTCAACATTACAGGACACAGATCAGCAGAAACAGGCAGCTTATACCAAGACTCAACTGCCCACACTGGCCACCGTCCTGTTATAATGCACGAACAAAAAGAAACAGCGCAAATTAAACGTGTTTATTGTTATGAATCGAGCTGCTTTTCCCAATTTAAAGTTGCTGACAATCATTAGTTTTTTTATACTCAGTAAGGGATTCTAAAGTCTGAGAGCTCATGGAAAATCTAGATTTACATTTTAACCTGGAAATAAACAGAAAGCTTTAGATGAAAAATGAAATTACAAGTAATATGAAGAAGAAATGTTCAAGGTTTGGCATAAATTAAAGCAAATTTGTGACGTTAGCAGGGTTTCCATTCAAACATTTCACAAATTTGAAGCAAATTTCAAGGTCTTTGAAAGAAAAAGAAAATCAATTGTTGTTTTCATCAAGTACTTTTATGCACAGATTCCTGTGTGTCACAGGTTGCACTGTACGGCATGAGACAAGACTGTGCGTGGAGGGATTCAAACTTTTTTAGCTCATCGTAGAGCAGTTTTGCCATCAGTCAACTATACAAAGCTGTTTGTCAGAGTCTCCAGATGGAGCAGGGTGTGGCCCATCTAATGAGCGCCGTCCCACTTCGCCATCACCCACAGAACCCCAACAAACATCAGAACAGACATAGCATTGATGGCTGTGACTCCATTCTTATACTACAGTAATAAATACTATTATACTGGTTATGGCACCCTTGATGTACAGATGTGCCATACTATTTAGCGTGGTATATGTGGTTTGAGACACAGCCGATAATTTTCATTTGTCGCAGTGTAAGTTATCATCAGGTAGAGAGAAAACACATGACTTTCATACCTGCTATGTCATCACGCATTCAAAAAATCAGTTTCCATTTGCGTTTTTCACATTTCTCCTTTATTGATAAACCAACTTTTCCACTTCCTCCAAATTTCTTTTGAGATATTTCAGCTTTTTTAAAATTTCTGGCTTTTCCATCCATTTTTTTTCAAAACATATTTGAGGTCAAATTTCCTTCCTTCTGTTCAGGCACCTGTTCAGATGTTTCTCAGGTGGATTTGATCTTTTCATCAGAGGCTTGTTTAAGGTAGTCAGCTTGCAGCCATTGTTCAACTTGTACATCGTCATTAAAGCAAAAGAGGGACATTCCTAATACTAAGAACTTCTGAAATTCAAGTAAATATTTCAAAGATTCTGCTTTTTCCTTATGCTGACAATAAAATTAGCATTTTCACTAGTGGTCTCAGATGTTTGGACCCCCCTATATGTTGTTTTTTAGTGCACAGCCGTCAGTACTTTCTGACTACAGGGCCTTCAAACAGGAACTGTGATATGCAAAAATAGGCTTAATGTGTCCAGAGGAACAAAGGCGAATCAGAGTTTGTAACATGGAGATGCTCACTCTTGATGTGTTTGGCTCTGGTACACTAGGCTGATGTGATTTTGTGTGTGATGACGCGGCATGTACTTGGAGGTTGTTATTTGGTCTGATTGCGATGTTTATTTGCCGCTCTTCTTCTTTCAGGAGATGGTAACCCCAAGGAGAGCAGTCCTTTCATCAACAGCAGCGATCCAGAAAAGAGCCAGCAATATGACGGCAAAAACATGGCCCTGTTTGAGGTATGCATGCACACACACACGCACACACACACACACACACACCCTCCACACCTAAAGCTAGAGCTGCTCTTTTAGTGTGATGTGCCAACAAATACACACCCTAGTGAGTAATTGAATAAAGGGTTTGGCAGTGATTAATAAGGGTAATTAGTGTTTGAAGGGCAGTCAGACCACAGGAAATTGAACTGTGCAGGTTAATGTCGTCAAACTTGGGGCTCTTTAGTAAAAGGACATTGTTTCCAAAGTAAAACAGGCAGGAAAGGACATAATGCACTTGAACTGGGTATTTCCCAAGGAGGCTTGCGCTTGACATTAACATGGCTTTTTGTTTATGCATGTTAATGATCATGTCATCTTAACCTTACAGTAAAAATTTCCACTGTTCTTTTTAGTTTACCTTTTGTTTTATTCTTGTTGGTGTTGCTGTGCTTCATTATTGCACTTTGCACTCTACTGCTGATGCTTTGGAAAGTGACCTTGAGCTATTAAAGCATATTATTATTAACGCTGGCACTATCAACTATACCAGTAATCGAGTAATCTGACAATCAGATAGCACTTCATTTGGAGTGGTTCTTTGTAGAAGAGTAATATCTTGTAGATGTTCTGTTGATACATTACTTACATTAAGTAGATGTGTTGTTAATATGTTACTTCTATTATGCAAAACCCAACCTTACCCTAACTCTGGCCCTAATCCTAACCTTAACCTCAACCCAAAACCTAATCCTAACCCTAACCCTAATCCTAATCTTAACCTCAACCCAAAGCCTAATCCTAACCTATTTTTTATTTTTTATTTTTTATTTTTACCCGATTTTCTCCCCAATTTAGTCGTCTCCAATTCCACCCGCTAGTTAGGACTATCAGTTAGGACTACCAATCACACGATACTATCATCGCTAGGAGGGTGAAGGCTAACACAGGCTTCCTCCGAGACCTGTGAAGCCAACCACCGCTTCTTTTCGAGCTGCCGCTCACGCAACGTCACTGGACAGCCGAACGCGCTCGGAGGAAAGCGCCAAACGCCAGATCTGTTACGTCAGCTAACAGACGCCTGCGCTGACTAGCATCGCGTTAAGTGATGGGGGGAGAAGGGGCCATCCTACCCACCCAGAGAGAGCGAGGTCAATTGTGCTCTCTCGGACTCCCGGCGACAGATGGCTGTAGCATCACCAGGGATCGAACTCGCGATCTCCTGATGATAGTGCCAACGCTTAGACGGTTGCACCCCTCGGGAGCGCCTTCATATGTTTTTGATGACATGTAACTGAGAGTCTGTTGAATGATTGTTTCATCTAAAAGAACCATTCAAAATAAAGTGTCACCGACAATTATTTCACAATTGATCTAATTAAATAAAGGCCAATCAAAAACAATTAACTTAAATTCAACCTGAAGTCAAAATTGACCTTTTTACCTTGTTAGTTCCTGGTCTTATTAAGCATGATTCATCATATTATAAATTCTTGTTTTCCACTAAGCTTTGATTAAAGTGTAGTGGCCTCTGCAATGTCTGCTGATTTTTGATTCCTTCACTCTGCACCATCAGGCAGGAAAAATGATTCTAAAGTACTTTATTGGGAAAAGGACACTAGGAAGCCAGTCTAATCACTGCCAACTAATTAAGTAAGCAAGTTTCAACAATTAACCCATTCATGACCAACAACTACATTTAATATGATAAGAAAATAAGCCACAGAACTTGTTCTGACTGGCCTAAAGTGATGAAATTGTGTTTTCATACTTCTTTGTGTTATATACCTCTAACAATGCCCATTTAGAAGATTTTGATTACATGTAAATTTCATACTTTTGTTCACAAATACGGCCATTTTTTCCTATAAGTGGTATAAGCAGTTGATTAGGGCCCCCAAGTCACCAAAGTATGTACTTTTTTAAAATGTACTCAGTATTGTTTGTAGAAATAGAGCAGTGAGCCTTGAAACTTTATGTTTTCCTGATGAAAAGGAAACCATTATAAGTTCTTTTTTTGCATACAAAAGAATATAATTGGTTTGTAATTTCTTTAGATGTGTGTTCAGGCAAGCTCAGAGAACACATGGACAAAATTTAACATTTCAAGTATAAACACTGATGGGTTAATTGTAAAAATCCTTGTTATTATTATTTGTAGTAGTCGTAGGACTATTAAATATTGGTATTAGTTGTAGTAGTATTACTAGCAATAGTGTTATTAGTAGCATCAGTGATAGTAGTTTTACTAGTAATAATAATAGTATTATTATTAGTAGTAGTACTAGTAGTGGTAGTAGTAGTAGTATTAATATTAATAGTAGTAGGTATGTGAGTGTAAAAAACACTGAGATCGTCCTGTCTTTGCATGTCTGTGTGTTTGTGTAGGAGGAGATGGACACTAGCCCGATGGTATCATCTCTGCTCAGTAGCCTCGCCAACTACTCCAACCTGCCTCAGGGCAGCAAGGAACACGAGGAGGCCGAGAACAACGAGGGCGCACGCAAGAAACCTGTGCAGGTAACACACACACAACAAGACTGTTTGCACTTTGCGTTAACAGATGTTTCATGTCAGGATCATATCTGCCATTACTTGACTTCGGGATTCCATTTACACTTTTTACTCCAACGCGCCCCCAGTGTGACCAGATGGGATCTGAATTTAACTTCCTGACTAAAAAGCACGTCAACACATACTTTGTTTCCATTTTCCACTTCCCTTTACTTTCCCTCTGTTACAATGTGACTCAGTATGCTTGGCATGGGCATATTCATCCACTCTGAATGTAAGAAGGCACTTGATTTTGGGAAAACTACAGATTCGTATATCCTCCATCCTGCGTTTCCAAACTCCAAACAGCCAGCACTGTTCTTTTCGTTTCTTCTTTTGTGCTATCTGACAGAGTAGTTAGTGGAGACAGCTGTGTGTTGGTCAGGTCAAAGGCTGTGATGTAACCTCCTGTCTGAATGACAGATCTCAGCCTTCTCCTTCCTCACTAACCTTTGAACCTTTGACCCAGAGATAGTCCCAGAGGTAGCCTCAAAGGAGAGACTGCTCTCATTAGACATCCTCTACTCTTTCAGTCTGACAGATTCACTGTACTCTCTCTCTCTCTCTCTCTCTCTCTCTCTCTCTCTCTCTCTCTCTCTCTCTCTCTCTCTCTCTCCCTTACACTGTTAAAAATGAGAGGTCAGCTCAACTCAAAATGATATTGTAACTGATTCTTGAGTTGACTCAACTTGAGGACACCAGACACACAACTCAAACTTCTTAGTTGAGTCAAAAGTTCAGTAGTTCTGTATCTCTTTAGTTCTGTATCTCAGTTAGGTAAATAAAATGAACTTGTTTTTATACTAAATTTCTCCACTAGCCAGGACTCTTTCCATCACACGGCCCTGCTAGACATTTTTCCTCTTCGGTAAACACTCATGGGTGGCTATGGCATCACTGGGGCTCAAACTCACAACCTCCTGTTGGGGTGACGGTTTAGTCCACTGTACCACTCAGGCACACATGACGCAGCTCAGGTTTTGTGTCGATACATGTTTAATACACTGGAGAAAATATTTGTTGTTTTAACTTTAGAGGATGTCATTGTCTCATGTGGTGCAACTGTCTAATAATTCATCCCAACATTAGGAGGTTGTGAGGTTGAATCCCAGCAATGCCACAGCTGTCCATATCAGCAAGCCCAAGAGGAAAATATGGCAGATGAGACTGTGTGATAGAAGGAGCGCCAACTAGTGGGGAAAATTAAGTAAAAATGCAAATTTGATCTACCTGAAATGCAGACCTAGAAACAGTAGCAGGGAGAATTTTTGACTTAACTAAGAGGTTTGAGTTGGGTGAAAAAAAAGCCATGTTATCAGTTACTATATAACTTTGAGCAGACTTCTCATGTTTTACAGCGCATCATCCTTGACTTCTCTCAACTATTTACTAGCCCTTAATTTGTTGTGAAGCTATAAACAGAAAACTTTTTAAGAGCCATTCAGTCAGCCATACGTAATTTACATGCTCAACCCCAGTAAGAAAAAAGTGGAAATACTTAGTAATAAGGAATTAATGTAAATCATCACTTCCCACCTTTAGTACTGCTGTACATACCTGGTAGTTCACATAAGCTCCGACATACATGCAAGTCACTACATACATACAAAGTATGTACCAAAATGTATTCATAAGCACTACATAATTAAATACTAGGCACCATACAGTGAAGTGCTATGATAAGTTTTGCACATCAAATTACCACTGCAAATTTCCATTAAGCTAACAGTGCCACACATTTGTTTTCCCACACTGAGTTTAATCCTACCTAAGGCAGATCTAACCAAAAACACAGACATTTGAAGCTCGTAAGGCATTCAAGTAACAAAATCTTTACTTATTTTGCAGTTTTACAGTGAATCTTTAAGTAAATTTCAGTTTAAAACCTAACAATATTAATATTATCAATATTAATGGAAGAGCTTTTATGTTAATGTTAACTTTAAAATTAATATTAGCTGTTATTTAGCTTAGTTGCTAAACACATAAACTTAAACAAAACCAGGTTCGAACCTCCTCTACCAGTACACTCAGTGAGAAGCACAGCAGTCCATTCACGGCACAGTGGTTTTTAGTGACGTGGCCTCTTGGGGCTGTAATGCAGGATTCAGTTGTTGTGAAGCAGTCATAGGTCATTACAGCTCCTTCAAATGTGACTAAGCCAATCAGATTTTAGAACCAGAACAATCTGTTCTATAATTTATATTCTACCACCTTCTCTGTTCTTGTAATAAAGCAGTGACAGTTCGCTCAGAGGTCATGTGAAGCGTCAGCGCTGAAGTGAGGATTAAAGAGTGAAACTTGGCAACTCTTTAGCTTCAGCTGTCTGCCACTGCAAAGATGTGAAATAGAGAAAGAGAGAGTGGGAGAGGATTTGTTCTTTCGGCGCGATTGAAGGGAGAAGGATAATCTTCCCCTCGTCTTGAACTTAATTAGCTCGCAGCGCAAAACAGCTGCTCTCCAATCAGCCTCCATTTTCAGAGGGTCAGCAGCACATGCTCACGAACACAGGGGTCCATACGCTCACATCACCTCTCTCTCACTCTCTCTCTCTCTCTCATTTTTTTTTATATTTGCTCACTTTTCCTAAATGCTGGTTAAAGGAGCACTCCAGCCAAATTTTTAAATTCAGCCATCACTACCTCAGTTGCACACATGCCAATTCGCCTCTTACAGTGGTGCCACAGGAGCCTGCAGAGTAAAATATTCGGGTTTAAATACTAGAAAAAACATCTTCCGATGATGAGATGATGATGATGACTTTAAAAAAAATGGGTGGGTATTTGAGGGCAGGCTGCTAGGAAGCCATTCACATCTGTATTTATTAGCCTCAACATAAGCAGCTGCGCTAGCATTCATTGATTTCTTTATTACACTGAGAGGATTCCTGATAGTTGTGTAATGTATTTGCAATGCATGCTGGGTACAAAAAGGATACAGTATCCTTTATTACACAACATGACAGATGATGGATGTATTAAATGCTAGTTTTGCAGAACATATAATGAGAGAAGCAGGACTGGTGGAAGATGACCAATGATTCAGGACTGGTGGAAGAAACATCAGTAACCTTCAGTATGCAGATGGTGCAACACTCATAGCAGAAAATCTGACCTGAAGGCTCTTATAATGAAGATTAAAGAACAGAGTGAAAAGATAGGACTTCAGCTAAATATAAAGAAGACTAAGGTTATGACAACAGAAAAGGCCACTAACTTTGCTATTGACAGAGAAGATGTGGAAATGGTGGACAGCTTTTGGCTACTTGGATCAATTATTAACAATAAAGAGCTCAAAAAATACAACACAGATTGGCACTTGGCAGAAAAAGGATGAAGGAGCCTAAAAAGATCTTTAAATGCAGCGATTTGTCTCTACAAACAAAGATGGTCTTCTCTGTAGTCTGTGATGTGAAAGATGGGCAGTAAAGAAGTGAGACATGAGAAATATAGATGGAAATCATGCTAACAATAAACAAACCAAGGACAATTTTTACTTATTGAATGTTAAAGCTGCAGGTTTTTGCGTTAGATGATCAGGAGGCTTTGAGTGACCAAGGCTGCCCTGTCAGATGAGCTAAAGCAAAGTAGTGTGGCATTATATCTTAGAGTGGACATATTGTCTTGAGGTAGCAAACCTATAATATAAAACCGATCAGGCATAACATTATGACCTTGTTTCTATGCTCATTGTCCATTTTATCAGCTCCACTTACTCTATAGGAGCACTTTGTAGTTCTACAATTACAGACTGTAGTCCATCTGTTTCTCTGCGTACTTTGTTAGCCCCCTTTTACCCTGTTCTTCAGTGGTCAGGACCCCCTTGGACCCTCACACAGCAAGTATTATTTGGGTGGTGGATCATGCTCAGCACTGCAGGAACACTGAAGTGGTGGTGGTGTGTTAGTGAGTGTTGTGCTGGTCTGAGTGGATCAGACATAGCAGTGCTGCTGGAGTTTTTAAACACTGTGTCCACTCTCTGTCCACTCTATTAGACACTCCTACCTTGTCAGTCCACCTTGTAGATGTAAAGTCAGAGACGATAGCTCATCTGCTGCTGCACAGTTTGTGTTGGTCATCCTCTAGTCCTTCATCAGTGGTCACAGAACGCTGCCCACAGGACGCTGTTGGCTGGATATGTTTGGTTGGTGGACTATTCTCAGTCCAGCAGTGACACTGAGGTGTTTAAAAACTCCAGCAGCACTGCTGTGTCTGATCCACTCAAATACAGTATCCTAGACAGTTTAGCTTACTTTATAGCCAATGTAGATGATGTTACGCTTGTTAATAGATAGTTCTGACATAGATACAAATGAAACAATGAGAAATGTTGCAATGAAACTTGAAGACAAAAGAAAGAAAGAAAATAGTCTGGTTTATCTTGGCAAGCAGGTCGCTCAGATTTGTTTCTGAATTGTTTTGTTTGCACTTCTGGCGTGTTCTTTCCCTCTCTCTGGGTGCCCGTCTGTCTCTTTATCAGTCTTTCGAGCTTTCAATCCTTCGCACAGACATGAGACACTGGAAGTCAGTTTGGATTAACAACAATTTAACGTCTTGCTTATCACTGAAAACTGTTTAGCTTGTCATCATTCGGCCCTTCGGCTGACACATCCGCGCTTTTCTTTTCAAGGTCAGAAAGCACAGCAATACTTAGAGATGACTGGGAAGACTTCCCGAGCAAAATCAGAATCCATATGGCGTTCCTGCCATTCCTCACATGCATGAAGCCGTGGCGGAGGAAAACGGATCAGACTGAAGAGCAAAGGTAGAACGATCTCGTTCTGCTTCACTGAGTCCTGGGGCGAAGGTCTTCCTCTCCTCCTCCTCCTCATCAGTCTAAAGTTCCTCGTTAAAATTCAGCGAGCCTCCCCGTCGTGATTAATGTCATGTCGTGTTGCGTTGCTCTGGCTGCACGCTTGATTGCGCTGATAATTGTCCTAAGCAGAAATTTCACACTCTGCACATTTA